AACGGTTGCTGGAATTGGGCATGTCTAGTTTAATGAAGAGAAGGACGAGGGGGGATATGATAGCAGTGTTCCAATCTCTCAGGGGCTGCCCCAAAGAAGAGGGAGTCAAGCTGTTCTCCAAAGCACCTGAAGGCAGGACAAGAAGCAACGGAGGGAAACTAATCAAGGAGAGAAGCAACCTGGAACTAAGGAGAAACTTCCTGACAGTTAGAACAATTAACCAGTGGAACAACCTGCCTCCAGGAGCGGTGAATGCTCCAACACTGGAAGTTTTTAAGAAGAGACTGGACAGCCATTTGTCTGAAATGGTGTAGGGTTTCCTGCCTGGGCAGGGGGTTGGACTAGATGACCTCCAAGGTCCCTCCCAACTCTGCTATTCTGTAATAAAATAATTATTGGATGTTTGGGGGTGTTTTGCTCCAGGTGTGGATTGTGGCGATTGTGACAGGGGCAGCGGGTGCCTTTCTGAGGGTCTGCAAAGCCCAAACCACAGCCTCTCTTTATGTACCTCGACCCGCAGCTTGGGTTTGGGCAACGTAAGAATTCGAACCCAGGCTGCTTGCGTTTTGGCCTGACCCCAGTCGGTGGCTCTTTTTTTATTATTTATTGTTTGAAGATTTTTAAAATGGTTCCGCAGGAATCCTTTTAATGCTGTCTTCTAGAAAATGGATTCTACGAGAATATTATGGCCAGTAGTCTTTCAGCACAATTCTCCTTCCGAGAGATGGGCTGGCTGGCGTGTTTTGGAGACAGGGCGTCTTGCTGAAGGAGGGAGAGGCCGTTTCTTCGGCCCTCTTTTTAAAAATTAATGGCTTTTTTTCTTGGATTCGTAGACATCTAGGGGAGTGAGAGCCAAATTAGCAGCTGTTTGAAGAAGTGATTCGGTTGTAAAGCGGTTTTTGAGCACTTATATACTTGTTTCCGGCAGAGTTCATTTCTCTCCTGTTTAAAAAAAAAAAAAGGATGAGATAGGAGGGCATCACAACACAACACATCAACAAGGTTTTACAGTCAGTCCTCGGTTTACGATTGGAATTGAGTTGGAATTACTGTCGTAAGTCCATGCATGGGGGAAAAAAAAAAAACAATGGTGCCCAGGGTGGACTTGATCTCGACACCATATGAGGAACGGCTGCTGGAATTGGGTATGTCTAGTTTAATGAAGAGAAGGACCAGGGGGGACATGATAGCAGTCTTCCAATATCTCAGGGGCTGCCCCAAAGAAGAGGGAGTCAAGCTATTTTCCAAAGCACGAGAAGGCAGGACAAGAAGCAAGGGATGGAAACCAATCAAGGAGAGAAGTAATCTGGAACTAAGGAGAAACTTCCTCACAGTGAGAACAATGAACCAGTGGAACAACCTACCTCCAGAAGTTGTGAATGCGCCAGCACTGGAAGTTTTAAAGAAGAGACTGGGGAGCCATTTGTCTGAAATGGTGCAGGGTTTCCTGCCTGAGCAGGGGGTTGGACCAGATGACCTCCAAGGTCCCTTCCAACATTATTATTATTATTATTATTATTATTATTATTATTATTATTGTTATTGTTGTTGTTATTATCAATATGCCAGCTTCTGTGATGCAACCCAGAATGTAGAACATAGAATCCGAGGGCAGGGACGGGACCTTAGAGGTCTTCTAGTCCAGCTCCCTACTCAAGGCAGGAGACCTTATACCATCCCAGTCCAATGACTGTACAATCTATTTTTGACCCACAACTCCAGAAGGCAAACCGTTCCATTAATTGTTCCCAGGGTCAGGAAATAACAACAACAACAACAATAATAATCTTCCAGCCAGGAGCTAAATGCCTATGGAGATTCTCAGTCATTTATTTACCTGGTGATTTTTCGCGAGGCAAATGGACTTTCTTGTTTGTCTTTGAAGACGTGTCGCTTCTCATCTCAAGAAGCTTCTTCAGCTCTGATGCACAGACCTTGGAGGAGAAGGACACGTCTTCAAAGACAAACAAGAAAGTCCATTTGCCTCTTGGGGGGGGGGAAGCATCTTTGGGACTTCCAGACATTATTTCTTGTCCTGCTTTGGAAAATAGTGTGACCCCCCCCCTTTTTCTCTGTGACAGCCCCTCAAATATTGGAAGACTGCTGTCGTGTCGTCCCCAAACCCTTCCCTTTGAACCTAGTTTCTTTGCAGAAGAAGGCACACTGGGTCACGGGCAGGGTGGTGGAATTGTAAGGCCAAGTGTAAACAGACCATCCTCTCGCCATTCCGGTATGCGTGTCAGGTTTGACCTGGGCGCCAGCTTTGGGGACGGCCGAAGTGCTTGTCAGCAATCTGGTGATCAAAAGGAAGTCCGTTTGCAATTTTCTCTTTCGACAAGCAGGTGGTTTGATGCCCGGAGCAAGGTGAAACTTTTTATTTATTTTTTTTGTCCTGCAACCGTGCTATTGAGTGTCACCATAGAAATGATAAATACGGTCGTAACCGGGATTATTAAGAATGGCTGAGGAAGCCGCTGCCATCAAGATGTAAAGAGGCTCATGTTTTGAAGAAGGAGAATAAGCTGGAGACATACAAAATTTGGGAGGGGATAAAATATCACCTCGTTTTTGGCCTTCAGCAAGATACGCGCCGCATTATTGAGTCCGCCGGGGATGTTTTTTTCAAATGATCAGCTTCGGAATTGCCCTTTGCAGAGGAGGTTCAGGGAGTCCTCAAGTTATGACCGCTTTGTTCAGCAACTGTCCAAAGTTACAACCAGTGCTGAGCGTGGGGTAATGTCAACCAGAAGGGGTTGCAATGGCAGCCGGAAGCGAGGGATTGCCGCCACTAAACAATGCAGTCATGCGATGCCCTATTTTATGACCGCATCGCTTAATAACAGAGATTCCAGAATGAAGAATAGAATAGAATAGAACAGAACAGAACAGAACAGAATTCAGAATAGAATTCAGAATAGAATAGAATAGAATTCAGAATAGAATAGAATAGAATTCAGAATAGAAAATAGAGTAGAGTAGAGTAGAGTAGTTGAGTTGGAAGGGACCTTGGAGGTCTTCTAGTCCAACCCCCTGCTCAGGCAGGAAACCCTACACCATTTCAGACACATAGATAGGTTACATTTAATAAACAACCATAATTTCTTATATCCCAGATGTCAGGTCATCTCTTTCGCAGAATTTCTCCCTTTGAACAAAGGCAAAAGCGATGGGGGGAAATCCCAATAGAGATTATTATTATTAATAGTTCTTTTTTTTAAAAAAAAATTAGCTTGTATTTTAGATCAGCTGCTCCTTTGCCCTGGCTGCCAAGAAGCTCTTAATGCACGTCCGCTTTGACTGATGGGCAGACTCAGCCTGGTGCAACCGAGACGGCGGTTCCTCTAGTCTGCTGCACAGTCCCAGCACTCGGCTGCTTGCACGTGGGTGTGATTTCCCCCCCCCCCCCCGCCGCCCAGGCCTGTCATCGGAGACTTATGCTTTGCTATTGATGAATGGCAGGCCTGTCTGTCTGTGAATGGGCCCTGCGGGATGGCTGGTCAGAACGGACCCGCCGAGCCGAGGAAAGAATATGGAACTTGCCCAGGTCACACACACACATTCCTAAAGCAGAGGGGGGGGGGTCTCTTGGTCACCCACTTATTTTTTTCATAGATAATTTATTGAAATAGATCAAACATGTCAAACACAAGGCCCGCCCGCGAAGCCATCCTGGAAACAGTGAGGGAACGGCCCCCGCTGCCTTGGCCCTGGCCCTGGCCCGCCGGGAGCCAATGTACAATTTTGTGGTGGCCATCTATGCTGAAACGCATTCAGTCTTTAGCTCCACAAGGCCGTCTGGAAACAACGAGGAACCGGCCCCTGCTGTGTCGCCCCTGCCCCCTGGGTGCATGCTGGGGAGGGGTCCCCCTTTGTGAGGAATGAAGAAATGGACCATGCCTTGGCGCTTGCCCTGGTCCCACCCCCCTTCTGCCAGAGACCCTCAGATCTGTCCCACTCCTGCCCAGGCCCCCACAGGCGCCCTTGACGCGAATGATATAGAGCTAGCCACGCCCACCCAGTAGGCCACACCCACTCCATCCACGCCCACCCAGTGGGCCGCACCCACCCTGCCCACACCCACCTGGCCCTCCGAGGGCAGCCGCAATGCTGATGCAGCACTCAGTGAAATTGAGTTTGACACCCCTGGAATAGATGATTCCTGCGTGGTTGAAGCCTTTTTTCTAAATTCGCGGGATTCTTTTCTTCTGCCGTGCCTATGTACACACTCGAAGTAGACTGTGATGTTTCTCTGTGTCGTATATGTGTGTGTCTGTGGGTATATGCATAATGGTTAGGTTTTGAGAGCTGATTTTAATATATGCTGATTACTGTACATTTAAAGTGATAGTAACGTTTCTATTCTATTCTGTTCTAGTCTGTTCTGTTCCTTTTCTCTATTCTATTCTGTTCTGTTCTGTTCTAGTCTGTTCTGTTCTGTTCCTTTTCTCTATTCTATTCTATTCTATTCTATTCTATTCTATTCCATTCCATTCCATTCCATTCCATCCCATCCCATCCCATCCCATCCCATTTTTCTCTTTTTTGTGTGTGTGTGCAAAAGTTGTATCAGTTTAAATAACTCATTCTGTGTTGGCCCTGAAATGGGAGTACCTCCTGCTTGCTATAACGTCCTCAACTTACAAACACAACTGGATCAAAATTTGGAGATTTGGGAGACCAAAATTTCCGTTGCTAAACAAGGCGGTTGTGAAGTGAGTCACACCCACTCTGTCGTTAAGCGGATCTGGCTTCCCCATTGACTTTGCTGGCAAGGGTGGTCAGAAAAGTGAGTCCATAGCCTAGGGCTGTATAACAGGTAGAGCAGGGGTCTTCAAACTCGGCCTTTTTATGACTTGTGGACTTCAACTCCTGGCTGAGGAATTCTGGGAGTTGAAGTCCACAAGTCATCAAAGGGCCACGTTTGAAGACCCCTGAGGTAGAGAAACTCGGAAAGGAATCCAAGACTCTAAAAGACACAGTGCAAGTTTTGTACTTTCAGATTTATAAAATTCTCTCAGTGTAGCTTTATAATAAAGTAGAATTATCTCATCTGGTGGTGGCCGACAGTGCCAATGACTCAGGTTGTGCCTGCAGGCAACACTGCTTTTTCCAAAGGGTTGGTTGCTTCAGATTCCGTCGTCGGAATGGGACGGGCTTGCTGTTCCAAACCGACAGATTCAGTGGTCTGCAATATGTCCGTGGAGATTCTCAATCATCCGGGTCATTTAAGCCATGCACTTTGGATGATGAACACCCTCCAAAAGGTGCGGGAGTGTGAACGGACTTCCAGAAAACATGGCAGACCCCAGGAACCATTTTGTGCTTCAGTTGGAGAGGCAGACAAGACCGACGCATCCCCATCATCCTGTGCCCGTCTTCAACAGGGGAGGGACCCAGGGCAGAAAAACACCCTGATGCCAAGAAGGCTCCACATCCATTTGCACCCACTCAGGTGATCTTGAGGACGCAGACAAGCCTCCAAGTGGCCTCAACGACTCTCTTAAAGGATGCAAATGACCAGCTGTCTGCAAGGAGGATAAAGCCTTCCATTTCCCCACCATCTAGTCAGAGCTGAAGAAGCTCTTTGGAGGAGAAGCGAAACGTCTTCAAAGGAAAAACAAGAAAGTCCAGTTGAAAAAAGCAACTTTGGGACATTCTGCAATATGATTGACACTGGGAATCAGCTTCTACTTGCTTTGCCCAGCCCGGATTTGTTTTTTGTTTCTTTTGCTTTGCTTTGCGGTCTTCCCGTCTCCCTTCTGATCCCGTCCCGAGTTTCGTCTGATTAAAGCCTTGTATTTGTAGGGTTGCTGTGGCAACAGTTTACTTCAATTAATCCTTTGCCTGGGGAATAACATTAAAAGCAAGAAATAAGACCCGAATAAACAAACAGAACTCCTCCTGCGCGGCTCTCATCAGATCATCAAGGATTCCCACCAAATCCGGCGGAGCACAAACTTTCTCGCATTTGCAATTTTGGAGAGAGAAGATGGTTCTGCCATTAATCCAGTGGATTAAAGCGGCCTTTTTCCCCCAGTTCTCCTTAGAAAAAGGAAAGGAAGGCCCCTCCTTGTCTGGACCCTTCCTTCTCCCTGTCTCCCCCCCCCCACTCCCCTCAGGAACCCCACAAAGGCCTGGCTGCCTCTCTTGTGCCGTCTGCTGTCAGTGTGTCTCCTCTAATGAAGCAATCTGGCTGTAGGCAAGTATGACCTCTCTCGTCCGCCCCGCCCGCCGGCCCGGGGGCTTTGAATCTTCAGCCTTCACGGGTCTGCGTCTCCACCGCACCGCTCAGAACAAAAGGAAACCCAGCTGTGGAGGCTGTTTCTGCAACAGCTGGATGCCTTCTGAAGTCTCCGAGGGACTCCCGCCCGCCCGCAGCCTTAGAAGCTGCCAAGGGAAACGGGCCCGTCTTGTGGCGCTGCTCCGTCAATCATTTCAGTTTTTTTTTTTTTAATTTTTCTTAAGGGAATTTTGTAGGGCCGCCCAACTCGCTCACGGTGACTCCGGAGGGTTTGCAAAAAAATAAAACAGCCCAGCAGAAAAGCCGATCAACTCCACCTCCCTGTCGATCAAGGGTGGTCCTCAACTGACGCCCCAAATTTCTGTCGCCAAGCTTCCAAATTTTGGTCACGTGGCCCTGGGGATGCGGCCACGGTCGTAAGTGTGAAAAACGGTCATCACTCACTTTTTTCAATGCTGTTGTAGCTTTGAATGGTCACTAAATGGACTGTTGTAAGCTGAGGACTACCTCTACAATGATTTATAAGAGTTTGCTTCTTCAGGTGTTGAGTACTGGAACTCTGGACAACTTTCTAAGACCCGTCGGTGGGCTGTGAATGGGGCTGAATGTGAAATCCCTACTGAGCTCAAGAGGCAGAGAGAGACGTCTGTAAACTGAATAAATACATGGATAACATTAAAGGCTGTTTCTGGACATGAGGTGGAGCCCTTGGAGAGCGTGACTGGAAGGGACTTTCTCTGACTCAAAGATTTTAAAGACTGTCTCCCGTGTTTGCTGTGCTCTCCTGACGCAGGTGGTGTTTGAACAGAAGCAAGACGGATTTTGAAAAACTGGTTTTACAACACTTATTCTGAGAGAGAGAGAGAGAGAGAGAGAGAGAGAGAGGAAGGAAGAGGGAGAGGGAGGAGGAAGGGAGAGAGAAAGAGGGAGAGAATGAGAGAGAGGGAGGGAATGAGGGAGAGGGAGGAGGGAAAGACAATGAGAGAAAAGGAGAGAGAAAAAGAGGGGGAGAATGAGAGGGAGAGACAATGAGAGGAAGAGCTATAGAATGAGAGAGGGAGAGGGAGAAGTAGGGAGAGAGAGAGGGAGGAAGGGAGAGGGAGCAGGGAGAGAGAATGAAAGGGAGAGAGAATGAGAGGGAGGGGGAGAGAATGAGAGAGGAAGAGATATAGAATGAGAGAGAGGGAGGGAGAGGGAGGAGGGAGAGAGGATGAGGAGGAGAATGAGAGAGAGGAAGAGATAGAAAAAAAGAAAGAGAGGGAGACGGAGGCAGAGAGAAGGAGGGAGAGATAGATGTTTTTCCACCTTCACTGGGGAGACACAGTTTGCTTGGTGGCAAAAAGGTCATAAAGTGGAGCAAAACTCACTCAGCAACAGCCTTGCTTAGTGGAGGAAATTTTGGGCTCCATTGTGGTCGTATGTCGAGGACTACCTGTGTCCTTTCTTTTCTCTTGGACATTTTTGGCAAGCCAGCTAGGAGGTGTACGAATGTGAGATGTTAAAACCTACCCCCCATTTTTTTTTTATGGAAGCCACAAGGCTGGCAATTAAAATCTATTTCGCCAAAGTCCTTCGCCTCCGCCCCATCCTGGGGTTATGAGCCCAAAGCTAAAATCAGCTCCTTGCTTCTTAATTGGGGAGTTAACCCCAAAGGCAGGGTGTGGGTCTTCCGTTTCCTTTTTCATGCACTGATTATGGGTTGATAATTTATCCGGCTGTTTTTCATGTCAGAACATCTGGATTGGGTACCAACTGCAGATCAGGGGACGTAGTGACCCAGGCCAGATGTTTTAGGACCAAGGGTCTTCAAACTTGGCCCTTTGATGACTTGTGGACTTCAACTCCCAGAATTCCTCAGCCAGTGTGCATGTTGGCTGAGGAATTCTGGGAGTTGAAGTCCACAAGTCATCAAAAGGCCAAGTTTGAAGACCCCCTACTCTAAAGCAATGTTTCCCAACCTTGGCGACTTTAAGATGGGTGGACTTCAACTCCCAGAATTCCCTAGCCAACATGCCTGGCTGAGGAATTCTGGGAGTTGAAGTCCACCAGTCATAAAAGTTTGAAAACCCCTGTTTTAGGACCTGGATGTAGGACAGCGCAATCTGAAGCTTACCAAACACATGGCAATTGTTTCATGGAAGAGAGAATGCAATCCAGACAATAAAGTGGTTGTTTGGGCTAGGCACGTATGGAGTCAGGATAAGAAACAAGACTGTGTTTCCCACATAGTCCTCACTTAGCAACTGCCTTGCACAATGACCGTTTGCAGTCACGATGGTGATGGGAAAGGGACATCAGTGGCCATCCTTGCGCTTACGGCCGCTGCAGGTCTGCAAAGCAAAGAAAAGCTGAAGTCGGATCGTAAGCACCGTTGCAGTTTTGCTTAGTGACTGCTTCACTTAACAACCCGTCGCTAATTCTGGTCCCGCGTCCTGCCTATTCCCACGTGAGATGGGTATAAATTGTGGTTTTCAGGTGTTGTTTGCCATAATTTTGTTTCCGTTGTACTGCTGGCTGACTCGGAAGGCAAAGCGTAAAGCGGGGGGATATAAATTTTAAGAGCAGAGTTTGCATGATCGGCCTTTACTGAACAAGTCATAATTTGGCAGCTCCGTAGAACACGTTAACCCATAAATCGTGGTTTGCAAACACGTTAGCACGGTCTTCCTCTTCCTTGAAACAGACTTGGGGGTGTGTGTGTGGAAAGTTCAGGGGCCAGGCTGCAGAGTGACTATGTTGTTAGGCCCCATGCCCCACTCCACCCCCCCCCCCGACCCCATTCCAAAACTGCTTCCCCCCCCTTCCAGTCCCCATCTCTGTGAAATGGGTCAGTGGTAGACCCCCTCCCCCGTTTTAGAGGCGAGATACCCCCGTCTTTTCACCCATGTGGGGAAGGAAGCTTAGCCCATACCACCCCCTCCCCCAACTCCATCCTTTACTTGGCCCCCTTCCTTGGGGCCCTCCGTCCTTGGGGCCCCAGCGAGGGCATCTATCCGAATCCGCTTGGCATCGCCAGCCTGGTTTTAGTCAGCCACCAGTCAGCAGGGCTGCCTTTCGGGGGGGGCCTTAGGAGGGGGTGCGCAAAGAGAAAAAGCGGCGCGCGGAATTTGGACCCCGGGGAAGTTGCAAAAAGAGGCGGCGAGATATCCGGGCGCTTCCAAGTTCACGCCGGGACGTCGGGCAGGTTTTGAAGTTTGGCGGCGGGGGGGGGGGCGGGGCAGAAAAGCGCAGCGGCTGGGGGGGGGGAAGTTGAAAAGGCACGCGTAGATCCGGCGGGAGGCTGCTTTTTCGGGGGCGGGGGGAGAGAAGAAAGCCAGCCCTGATCTTGCATGGAGAAAGCGGCCGGCCAGCAGGTCAAGCTCGGGGCGGGGGGAGGATCTCCGGCCGGCGGCGGCGGCGGCGTGTATGGGGGGGGGGGGAAGGGAGATCAATAACCCTTTGGCGGCCGCGATGTCTGCGGCGGCGGCGGCGGCGCCCCCTCGCTGGCCGAAATGTCAAGCCTGCCGCCGGAGGGGCCGCGCTCCAGCCGGCGCGCGGAGCTCCGCTCGGGCGGATTAGGCTGCCGGCGCTGGCTGCGGGAGTCCGGCGCCCCGTGGCTGCCGCCGCCGCCTCTGCCGCCGCCTCCTCCTCCTCCGGCGGCGCCTGCAAGGTGTAGCTGCCGCCGCCGCCGCCTCTCCTCCTCCTCCTCCTCTGCGCTTGCTGGCGGCGGCTGCTGCTGCTGCCGCCGCTGCTTCCGAGCGCGCTAGCCGCCGCTTGGGAAGCAGGAGAGGCCGCCGCCGCCAGCATGCCGGCCATCAAAAGGGAGCGCCCGGACCGCGAGGAGCTGGCGCTGGCCGCCTTCCACCCGCCCATGGAGGCGCTGCCGGACTACCTGGTGCCCTTAGCGGCCGCCGCCGCCGCCGCCATCCCGGCGGTGACCCCGCACCCGCCGCCGGCGTACGGGCAGCTCTTCGCCGCCGCCGTCGTCGCCCACCAGCAGCGCGCCTACTTGGAGTTCCACGCCGCCGCCGTGCCCCCGCCGCCCCCGCCGCCCGAGGAGCTGCTGCTGGAGCGCTTCTCCTCCGCCTCCGCCGCCGCCGCCGCCGCGCCGGACTTCCAGCCCTTCTTCGAGAGGGGCGAGCCGTGCCTGGAGGTGGAGTGCGGCGACAACCGGGCGCTGCTCTACGTGCGCAAACTCTGCCAGGGCAGCAAGGGGCCCTCCATCCGCTACCGGGGCGAGTGGCTCACCCCCAACGAATTCCAGTTCGTCAGCGGCCGGGAGACGGCCAAGGACTGGAAGCGGAGCATCCGGCACAAAGGTAGCGGCGGCGGCGGCGCCCGGTCCGGCCCGAGGAGGGTGGGCGAGGCTGGCCGGCGCTCTGCCCCTGGGCAGAGGCACTCTCGCCCCTTGCTGCTGCAGGCCGTTCAGTCGGGGCTGTGGACTCGGGGACTGGGTTTTAACCGGGGAACCCCTACTCGGAGGGGTCCCTTTGACACCCCAATGTGGGTTCTATGGGGGGGGGAGACACTGGGAGTCTTGGATTGCAATGCGCACCCTTGGTTGGGCGGAGGCGGGCGAGGGAGGGGGAGGTTCGGAGGCTCCCTCGCCCTCCTCGCCCCCCGGTGGGGACCCGGGGCGCGTGCACGCGGGGAGCGCCCGGCGGCGTGGGCGTGGGGGGGGGGAGCGGGAGTGCGCGTCGGAGTTCCCCGCGTGGTTGGGAAAGTTGCGCAGAGGCGCGAGAGACTTCGGCGGTGCGTCCCCAGCTCGGGGCGGGCAGAGAGGAGCGGGCGGGGGAGGAGGGGAGGGGAGGGGAAGGAGCCTTCCTCCCGTTCGCCGGGGGAGGCAGGCGGAGGCTGGAGCCGCTCGTTCACTTCCAGCCCCCGGCCGCCTGGCGCGGAGCGCAGCCCTCGCTTGCTGCAAATGGAGCCGCGGCGACCTTCTGAGGCCGGAACGCTCCGAGACGGCGGCGGCGGCGGCGGCGGCTGCTTTGGCGCCTGGAAGCGGGTGGGTGGCGGACGGGCTGCTCGGCGGGGGGGGGGACTGCGGGGCTCCGGAAACGCGCGGCTCGCTTTGCGCCCCGGACTTCGGGCACCGCTGGCAGAGGAGGCTGCCCAGCTGTTGTTTACGTCTAAGCCGCTTGGCCAGCCAGCCTGCCCTAAGGCGCCCCCATCCCCGCCCCGGCTTCCTTACGCCCGGCTGCCGCTGTCCGCCCCCGGTTCCCGGGGAGGGGGCGGCTCGGAGCCGGAGCCCTGCTGCGGGGGGGGAGGGAAAGGAGCCGCTTAGCCCCCCACTTCTACCCCCCCACACCCCTGGAGTGGGTCCTGCTTGTGTTGCTTGCGTAATTACGCACGCTTGGATGGCAAGCCGCCTCGGGGATCGCTCTCCCTCGGGTGCCAAACCGAAAGGAGAGAGGGGAAACCCCACGGAGACAGGTGGGCGGCAGGGCTGGGGTCTCCCCCCCCCTCGTCCCTCCCCCCCCCGTCGCGGCTGCGGCTGGCTTCTCTCTGTTGCAACCGCGGAAACAGCCGGAGGCGGTGCGGTGCATGTGTGGCGTGGGCGCCCCATCAAGCTGGCTGGGACTTTGGTCTTTCTCCCGCTGGCTCTTGTGTGTTTGCCTGTATTTGTGTGTCTGTGTGTGTGTGTCTGTGTGTCTCCGTGTGAGCGCTGAGCGGGGGGGGGGGAGGCTGGAATCGGAAGAGGCGGCTTTGACATATCATTAGCAGGATGCGGCGAGCAGAGACGGGGCGAGAGCGGCGAAAGGTCGTTTGCTGGCGGTGATTGACACCTCGCCTTGTTTATTGATTGCCTGGAGGGAGAACGGGGGGGGAGAAAGGGAAAGAAGGGGGCTGCCTCCCCCCACCACTGGCCCGCCACTCTAATGAAGCCTCAGTCCGCAACCTCGTCTCTGCCTTGGGGGGGGGGGAGCTTGTTCTCCCCTTCCGTCCTCCGCAGCCTTCGCGGTCGGTTGGTCGTTGGGGGGGGGACATAGTAGCCCTTCTAAACTGCATCTTGAATGGGGGAAGGGAGGGGGGAAGGCAGCCCGGCCCCTCCTCCCAGCCCCCCTTCCCATTAGTCACCTTTTCAGTCTGGCCAAGCTTTTTTTTTATTTTCTTCTTTTTTCTTCCTAAGAGGATTAGTTAAGGGCTAATGAGGGTGGGGGGCACGCTTTCTTTTCATCATTTCCACCGGGAGAGAGTTCAATTAAGGAGCGAGTGGGGGGCTTGGAGGGGCCGCGTCTGGGAGGGGGGTGTGTGAAGTGGGGCTGGCATCTTTTGTGCAAAGCCTTCTCCTCCAAACCAGCCTAATAATCACTTTCTCTTTCTCTGCCCCTTTCCCTCCCCCCTTTCCCCCCCTCTCTTCCTGCACCCAGGAAAAAGTTTGAAGACGCTTATGTCCAAAGGAATTTTACAGGTACATCCACCAATCTGTGATTGCCCTGGGTGTCGAATTTCGTCTCCAGTGGTAAGATGATCATGAAAAAAAAAAAACCCTCAACCCCTCCCTCCAAAAAGAACCCAGATTGTTTTTTTTTTTCTCTTCCTCTCCTCTTTATGCCATGTTTTTGCTGCTTCGGTATTTATTATTATTATTTTTCTGGATTAAGCCTGTCATTTAATGCAGCGAGCCCCCCCCCCCAACCTTTTTGGCAATTGGGACTGGGTTTTATGGAAGGCCATTTTTTCCAGGGGGGAGAAGGGGGGTAGAAGTAGAGGGAGAATGGTTTCGGTTTTGCTGGCTTGCCAGCCATTCAACCTCCAGCTGTGCGGACCGGTTCTGATTTAAAAGAAGTGGACGGGAGAGGGGAAATGTATGTATTTATTTATTTGGGAAAATTTATCCATCCATCCATCCTATTTCTTAGCTGCCCTCAGAGGAATAAGCCTTTGGGATCAGTGAGGAAGAACTTGATCTTCAGAAGATCACCTCCACTGCTTAGAAGAATTGGGGGAAGGAGATGTTTTGGCTGCTTTTTTAAAGCTCTCCAGATTATATATTACATATATATATTAAAAACCATCCAGTTGAATGTATTTGAGAATAGCTCCTTCCACACAGGCATTGGAAGCATCTTTGTCTGGGGAAACTATTGTTGCCTCTCTTGTTGTTGTTGTTTTTTCCCCCCTTTTCAAGTTTTGCATGTTTTTGGACACGTACAAATTTTGCAACAGTGTTGAGCAGAAACCTCACAAAATTCAGATCTGCTGGTCCACCAGAGATGCTTTAGGGAAGAAAGGTTTGGAAAGGAAAAGCAAGGCTGCTGATGCTGCCGAACGTTTATCGACTTCTTACGATTTCATAAGAATGTGCTGCTATTTTGGAACTATGGAGGCAGAGGGAGAATTGGGTTTGATGGACTGCCCCTCAGGTGTCAGGTGCGGTGTGCAGATGGCAAGGTTTGCATTGCATGGCAGTGTGTGTGTGTCTCTCTGTGTGTGTGGCTACAGACAGGCCTCACCACTTTCCGATGAGGGCATCCATACCAAGTTTTGCCATTCAGTTTCGCATCATCGGTCTTGCAGTCAAAGTCAGATGCTGGTCTTTGTGGCGGGGGGGGGGGGAGAGAAGAATTTGGCATTTGAGAAAACCCCCCTGGGATTCGAATTGCGTACATCACTTGTAAGGCTGGTAAAAAAAACAGATGTCTGGCGTTGCTTATTTTTAAAGCACATCTGGGAAAAGAAATGAGGAACAGATTTTAGAAAGAAGCAAGATTAAATGCTTGGAGGAAGCTTGGAGATACCGTAGCTAAGCAGTAGATCTTTTTATATCTGAAGGCGAATTCTCTGCAGTGCCTACGCTGAAAATAAGTTCCCGGATTGAATGTACAATTCAGTTCTAAATGTTTGCCTTTTGTGTGTGTGCCTTTAAGATCCGGTGTGACTCCAGTCTTGCAGATGATAAATTTATGACTTGGTCAAATGTGTGGATGCAGTCAATGGTGTGTTAATAAAACATGATGATGCAAAGGAGGATTCACATGCTGTGTAAACCTAACAAGGATCTGCAATGGGTATTTTTATGCTTTAGTTAGGTGGATCAGATAGGGCCAGCAAATATATACCATATATACTTGCTGATAAGCCAAGAATTGTAGGTGCTAAAATGTACCCCAAAAATTTGAGTTCGGCTTTTCCATCCATGTGCTTATATGGTAATATTTTTTTTAAAGTATCTGTATTTCTCCTATACATTCGTGGATTAAGCCCGTAAGTGGGTAAGCAGATCCTCAAATTGTATCCCAAAATATCATGAAAAATATGGATTGGCTTAGTGGAGTACAATCTGCAGGGATTCCTTTATCTTTTTACCATTTATCTGTTTATCAGAAGTTGTGGCTGCTCCATTGCTGGAGGCTTTTAAGAAGGGACTGGACAGCTACTAGTCTGGAATGGTGTAGTGTTTCCTGCCCAAATGGGGTTGGACTAGATGACCTCCAAGGTCCCTTCCAACTCTGTTATTCTGAATATCTGTGAGTGGCACATTTTTCATAGTCCCCAAACTTTTGGGCACCAGGGACCGGTGCCATGGAGAAAGGTTTTTCCACGGACTGGAGAGTGCGTGGTTTTGTGTGCTCCTTGCATCCCACTGATGGAGCTTTGCTTGTTTGTGTGGACAGGTTGCTGGCATGCCGCTGCCCCACGGTCCGGGGGTTGGGTACCCCTGCTATAGAGGTCTCTAACTTTAAAACCACCCTTCCGCCAAAAACAAATCCAATGAGTGTGTATTTGTGTGAATCTGTTGTCACAAGTTTTGGGCAAACCTTAGAAGAGAAAGGTAACCGTGGTGTGACGGCTGGGGTGGGTGGGGGCAAAATTACACCTCACTGACATGGATTGAGACATGTTGTGCCTCATTAGCTGCGGTGTGTATGAACACGCCTCGAAAATGAGAATTGGGAGCGATAGCTCTGAAGCGGGAAGATCAAACGGAGGATCTGAAGAGCTGCGCCGTCTCTAATTAAAAAGAGAAACTTACAAGGATTTGCTTGCCCTCCATTTCTCAGGAGCGTTTGGACTTTTGTTCCACCCCAGCTCCCTAGGCAGAGAGCTGGAAAGGTGTTTTCCATGGAGATAATTAGTTTAAATTATTAGCCAGGAAGATCTTAAAAGCAGCCACGTTATCCCTAAAGCCTGAACAGTTGTATACGCAACGAAGGCTAACTTGATGCAGCAATACGTGAGGCCTGATGACTTTCCTGTCTCGTTTATGCACACTAAACCCTCCCCGCCTTTAAAATAAGCATCCCTGGGTCACATTCCATATATTTTTTTTTCCATGTACTTCTTAATCCCAGACAGACCCGACAGGAATAATCACAACTTTCCTACGGGACTAACCCAGCAATCTATAAATATCTCCCCATTAATCACCTTAGGAAAGGTGAGCTGAATCTTGACTCGTCATAGGTGACTAGATGAGTGTATAATTTTAGGCTGGGCTGGCTCCATAGCATGTGTGCACACGCACGCCCAGGAGTGTAAGTAGGAAGGTACTTTCCCATAGATTATTTCAACCCCCCCCCCAGTTTCAGTTTGAACACAACCACTGTTTCTGCCTATTGCCGGGACTAATTGGCGCTTCCGTTTTGGGTGAAACCTTCTGTTTTTGACTGTTTTAACCACTTGGGTGGTTTTGTAGGAGAATTTTTCCGAAACGGTCAGTCAGGAAGGCTTAACGTCCAACCTCTGCTTCTGGCATCTTTAAAAATGCTAGCGTCTCCGTCGCGAGAACAGAAGGCAGGTTTTTAATGGTGTGGTACACAGGTAATCCATGACTTAACCACCATTGATTTCACGACTGTTCAAAGTCACAACGGCGCTGAGAAAAGTGGCTTACGGCCAGTCCTCGTAGTTGTGACCGTCGCAGTAAATGCGATCACAAATTGGGCACCAGCGACAGGCCCGTGTCTAGGATCATTGCCACGTCCCTCAGATTTGCGCAATTGCCATTTGAGACCTTCCCGCAAACCGATTCGGTGGGGCGGGGGAGGGGCGAGCCAGACTTGCTTAACGACCGTTTGATTCACTTAACAACTTGATCACGTGACTGGGGAATGCTGCAGCGGCGGTAAGGGTGAAAAACGGTCACCGTGCTGTAACTTTGAACCGTCGCTAAACAAACCGTTGTAAGTCGAGGACTGTCTGTGGTTCAACGCCAAAATTCAGCCGAATGCTTTGCTCACAAGATGCCCGTCCTAAAACATGGAGCCACCCTCTAAAAGAATCAGCTCTTGGCTTCCGTATGTCGGAGATCTTGACTGCTTGCAGGTTTGTTTAAGTTGGTTTGTTTAGATCTTGGACGCCCCGACAGATTAGTGTTTGTTTAAACCACCTCCGCCCTGTTGACAGCTGGAAAACAGCTCCTTTAAGATCGGCTGAAATGACAACAGCGCCTGGTGTGTGTGTGCCAAACAGCTTAACACCCTCCCCCCCCCATTTATTAAGTTGTGGTTCCAGGTTCACACAACTTGCTGAATGATAAACCAACCAGGAGTTTTGTCTTGTTAAACAGGCACTGCAGAGAGTCACGGTTCCCACAACCTCCTCTGGAATTACTGCTCCTTGCGCTGTCCAACCTGCTAGGCTGGGTCAAGGTTTGTCCCTGGATAGCTTGTGTGTTCCTCGGGAATTCTGAGTCAACCCTTGTTGATTCAGTGAGGGGTCAGCAGGCTGTGTGGACAAGGCCCTACTTGGGCAGCTGTCCAGCAGCAGGGCCACCTGGAGGGAGGTGTGCTCCCCCGGCCGGTATTATTTGGCGCAGGAATGGGTGTAAGTACTAAACTGCAGGTGGTTGGTAAGTTCCCAGGAAGGGGGGGGAGGAAGGCTTGGAAAAATAGGGATAATTGCGCCGCCGTCCGTTTGGTTTCCAGGCAGGGGGAACAGAGACGCTTCTGAGCTGTTTCAGGTCACTGCTTATTGATAAAAAGGGAATATTTGTGTTTTGTAGCTTAGGGTGGACGTAAGGGGTCCTTTGGTGAGCTCTGAGCTGGGTGGTTTTCTTGCAGACGTTTCATGACCCAGCTAGGTAACATCCTCAGTGTGAGAAGGGAGTGGGGTTTGCGGAGGTGGTGGAGGAGGAGGATTATGGGGTCCTTGGTGCTCTCTGAGCTTGCTGGGTTTCTTGCAGACGTTTCATGACCCAACTAGGTAACATCATCAGTGCTAGAAAGGAGTGGGGTGGTGGGAGGAGAGAAGGAGGATGACTGTGGGGTCCTTGGTGCTCTCTGACCTTGCTTGTTTTCTTGCAATGACCCAATCTAGGCAACATCATCAGAGCACTGAAGAGGTAATTCCACTCCCTACTAGCACGGATGCTGTTACCTAGTTTGGTGATGAAACGTCTGCAAGAAAACCACCCAACCCAGAGAGCACCAAGGACCCCCTCAATTCGCTGTTTATTACAAGTATTAAAAATGCCCCCAAGTAATGAACAATAGAGCTGCTGGAGAAATCAGCATTTGT